AAAAAGTATACCCATAAGAACTAAACAAGAAAAAAAGTAAAATCTGTTACAGTGGCGCATATCACACATAAAGTGTAATTTGGAGTCGCAAAATGAGAGTGGTCCTATGGCCAAACCAGTTTCTGTGTTGTGTCACATTCTCTCGATGTCAATCGCCATCAAGAGCGCGCGTGCGTATGGATATATCAAATGAGCAAGGTAAATTGTGGAGCTACCAAGGACAACAATAATCGAAATCTAATCATTCAAATGTTTTATTACTGAAAACATTAGAAAAACATTTTTGAGTACCCGAGTTACACAGCAAGCAAGATGTACAATAACTTCACTACCGAAAACCGGATTTCACTTTCAAGGATGAAATAGACCACACAGAGAAGGTGCACAGACGTAACATATGCAAAATTGAATAACTTGACAAAAACAGAAAACTGTTGAAAACTGAGCGAACTTCATTTTTTTAGAAAAAATATTTACAAAAACAAAAAGGACAATGTACACGCAACTGTAAAGGTTGAAGCAAACATCCTAAAAATAAACTTGATAGTAACCACTGATACATAACCATATGAGCAAAAAAATGTTAGCTGCTAACCTAGTAATCCAGCGGACTACTGCTCATTCCAAGACCTTCATCCTCGTTTGTGAGGAAGGAGTAGGGTAACAAGGCTGCGGTCTTAACACATCTTTGTAGTAAAGCGGGATGGAGTTGTGCAATAGCGTCCATCCTTTCCATTTCTTGTCGTAATACATTCAACCTGACATATTTAACGTTCAGTTGCAAATGTGCTGTGGACACTTTTCATAACTATCTGGATTTTTCTAAAGAAACAAAAACTGAGAAAACATATAGGGAATAAAAAGTTAAATTATTATTTAGTAAATGCATCATGAAAAGAATTGTTTTAAGTTCAAAAAAAATTAAGTACCTCTCGAACTTGGCTAACACATCATTGTTGTTTATCTTCTCCGGTACAACTTCCAATCGAACAATACCTTCGCTGATCGAGATTTCTGCCAAAAGTTTGCCTTGCTTGAACAATGTCTGAAAATTGTTCTACTTTTGCTGAGTGAGTTTTAAATGCATAAAAGTGTAAGTGTAGACGTAAAAATAAAGAGAAACCCGT